GTTTAATTTTTTTATTGTTGTTTTGCACAATATGCTTAACTAAGTATTTTTTGTTGAATATTAGAGATTTTGCAGATATATTTTGTAGATACATTGTTTAGATTTACTTATATATTTCTAACCCTTTTATAGAATAGAATAGAAAATCCTTTTATTGTCCCACAATGGGCAGATTTACAGCAGCAGAAAGATTATTGAAAATGGTCACACAAATGAGGACCTTAGAAAAATGTATAAGAATAACATAATAGGGAAGAGTTAAAATATAAAAAATGCAATTCTGCGAAGTGTTTTAACAATATAAAACCGGATAATTAATAACCAATATGCTGCTATGGACATTTTTACAGTAATGGATATTTGAAAATAGCAGCAACATCAGAGATGTGCAAAATGACAGCAGCAGGTTATTTAACTGACTAAGGTTTCTATCATTACATTTGATTTTATTTGTTCCTGCTCACGGTGGTTGAAACCTTTATTCCACTCTGGATTCTTGTGAGTGTAGTCTTTGTTCACTTTAACTTTTTTTAAAATAAATAAATAAACAAAGTTTTGAAAACCTCGGTATTCATTCTTTTCCTGCTTTGAGTGTCAACTTTCACGGTTGCTAAGCAACAGAGCATACAGCGGTAAACAGGGGGGACCTGTTCGAATTTACAGCCAAAACTCTTCCGGTCTCCATATTTTCAAGGACTTCGAAGGATCCAGTCTAGGTAGACCGCGTCCTTGGAGGATGCGTCCTAGGTTTTCGAACAGAGCCTCTGATTAAGAACAGGGCTGCCCGCACTGACGCGGCTCAGGGATTACGTCACACAGAGCGTCGTGCGCAGTGAAATCAGGACATTTCCTCACTTTCTAAAAAAAACCTGGTACGCCCGGGACAGGACGTGAAATACGGATATGTCCCGGGAAATATGGACATTTGGTCACCCTAAGAAAAGGCCGTTCAGTCTATGTAGTAAGCATTAGCATTTACTTAAACCTTTAAAACCATCAGCAGTTGAATCAGAAAGCTTATTTAAAATAAAAACACCAACACGACTATCTACTCTACCTAGTTCACCCAAGCAGAGCACTTATAAAGCATCAGATAGAAAGGAGGGGGAGGGATGATATTACTGTTTTGGTTCCGTGGATTGAAGGCCTTCAGCTCCGTCCGGTTCTCTGCATATCTGTCTTCAGTCCAGTCCGTTCATCCAACAGCAGCTTAAAGAGATTTGGATCAATCCGATGCAACAATAAGAGGCAATTTGCAAGGGGTTTAATTTTATAACTCACAGTAGCACGGGACGTCTCCCATTTTAGCTAAGGTGGTTAGCACATAGCCGCAGCTTGTAGCAGCACCTGTGCAGAACCTCTGCAGCACTGCTCCATCTCTCCGTCTTAGGCAGTCATGGTCTGTCAGCTTCTAACGGCTCCTTCAGCGAACAGCGATTGGGGGCCCCGTTGTTCCGTGGTTAGCAGAGCTGGATTAGCTCTTCTCTGTCTCTGCTGCAGCAGGATTCTGGATACACTGTGTTTAACTCGGTTTGAATTGCAGGGAGAATAAAAACACTGCTTTCAGCTCCTCCTAAACAGCAGGAAAAAAGACAGTCTAACTTGGTCCAGCAAAGGCGCAAACTTCTCCAGAGGGATTTGGTTGCTACTTAGCGTAGCCCTCAGCTGGAAGTGCTTTGTCTAGCCTTCAGCAACATGAAGCTAACGGCAAAATGGGAAGCTAATATGGGAAGCTAGTCATTTTAAGACCTTCGCCGGAGGGGTGTGTCTTCAGAGGGGCGTAGTTCCAGTTACATCAGCGACAATGGATCACAACACATTGATGAAGCCAAATGTGAGAGATCAAAGTGAGCATGAACAAAAATGTTGTCAAACAGACAATGAAAAGAAGGGATGTAGAAGTGCAGGTGGAAGAGGAGAGTTTTTCAGAGTTAAGAGCACGCTAGGAAGGTTTTGAGTTAGGGGATGCAATTGTGGGCTCAGGTCGGTGGCACGAAAAATATGCTCACTCCTCATACTTGTACTCTGATCAGACACAGACATTGATCACCAATCCCAATCTCCTGCCTTTAAGCAAATTGTCCCTCCTGTTGAATGATCAATTGAATGATCAATTGCTGAAAAACATTTATCAATTTCAACATAATTTCAGACCACGTTCCATTCATAACAAAAGTTTCAGACACAAAAAATATAAAGAGATAAAAATCTTTTTTTTCTTTTCCATTTTCCATTTCACATAATTAAAACAATCAATTACATTATAAGAAAATTAAACAATGAGAATGTTTTAGAAACCTAAAAAGAGTTATGTAAAGAGCAAACCAAGCAATGCTGATGAAGGCACTGAAGCAACATATCCAGAGGTATTCAAATTACTAGTTGTTGTGTGATTCAAACAAGTCTTTAAAGTTTTCACCTTCAGGATATGTAAATAATCAGGGTTTTCTCTGCAGTCTCTCTCTGGATAGTTTAATTGATAAATAAATAAGCTCTAACTCCTGTTTAATCGTGATTTATTCTCCCTGTCAACCAATGAATCATGGGAAGGTGATGTAGCAAAATAGTATCTTACTATTTCACCTCAACATTACACAGACCAATTAAATACAGTGCAAATTCACTGTTATCAATACCGATACTTTTTCTATATTTAAGCTTGATGTTTAGTGTTTAAAACTGTTGACCTTTTGGTGTTTTTGTGATTTTTACTTTGATTATCACAATATAAAAAGAATACAAAAAAAGGTCAACAGTTTTATTTAACATCAAGACGAACAAAGAACCAAAGCAATATAAAACAAAATCTTAAGACAATGAATTTAAATGAGCACATCACAACAAATATTTCTTGTTTGGCTGGCATTGCTGAGGCGAGTGACGGTGCAAGACAGTGATGAGAGGGGGAGGAGCAAAGTGCTGTAACACAGAGAAGGAGTAAAAAAGTATTGATCTTTTTTACACAGGTATTGTTTAATATCAACACCAGTGTTGGTATCATTGTTATGAATACTAGGATCGATCTGCGCACCTCTGGTCTGCATGTTATCAAAGAAACATTTTTGCAACTTGACATTGCATGTGTTGAATTTAAAAAAAGAGTTACTACACAACAAAAATGTTTTGTTATTTTAAAATTAGCTCAATGGATTATCAGTAATTACATTTTAATGCAGAGGCAAAGTCTTTTGTTTTCTTTTTAAAGTTCATATTTTTTGCAAACCTGCGCAGACAGCTGGAGATAGGCACCAGCACCCCTTAGGACCCCACTTGGGATTAAGCTTGTAAGAAAATGGATGGATGGATGGATGGATGGATGGATGGATGGATGGATGGATGGATGGATGGATGGATGGATGGATGGATGGATGGATGGATGGATGGATGGATGGATGGATGGATGGATGGATGGATGGATGGATTTTCTGCAAACATTTAGTATATAAAATGCATTCTGTGCAATAATCAAGTATATGTTACTCAAAAATAGAACAATAAAGACTTTTTATACGATACACAAATTTAACATTGTTGTTTTTCTTTTCTTTTTGTTACATTTTAAAAACTTTTAAAAGTCAAATCAAAACCTTTTCTTCTAAAGGATGTCTGTTCATGGAGAAAGTGCATACATTGGAAAATAAATCAAGTGATAAATGATACTGGTTACCTTATGATTTTCTATTGCCTTGTACTTGTTTTGTTTCTTTGTCCTCTCATGGAAACAAGAATTAAAATGGAATTATATATTAAATTTTTCAAAATGTATTAAATAAGTAACAATCCATAACCTAAGCGCATTTTTGTCTTTTTATTTTTACACAGGGCCAGATCCAGTCAGCATTGATAATGGGAGGCCAAGTTTTAAGTATTAAACATTTTCCTCAGAAGTTCAGTTTCTTCCTGTTCTTGATGTTTGCTGTATGGTTCATGTACTACAGTAGCAACTTCCCTGATCACATAACTTGTAAACCAACAGAGGTGAGTATTAATGATCTTTAAAACATTAACTTGAAATATAAAAGCATCATAAAATGTTAAAAGTAAAGCTTTTCCCACCATCTGTAGAAGGTAAAGCTCCGTCCATATAACCATAATTCCTTAATAGAATACAGATGACTGCCTTAAGCAAAATTTATGTTACATTAGTTATAGGTTATTATTAAGTAATGATTTATTATCTCAGGGTATGACATCAATGCCAGCATGAGAAATATACATCAAAATTACACCCATCAATAATTTAAATTTTTCAGACAAAGCTAATATTTATATACCCATCCTCAAGTTGTCTCTTTTATCACAGACAAGGGCAGGGACAGATGGCAGCCAAATGCCTGAGCCACTTCAGATGACTCTATTCAATGTGGAGGATAGTTATTTCTCTCAACTGACTTATGCAAAATCAGTATTACCAACCTGTCTTGTGATGTTCGCCTCCATTCTCCCCATACTTGTGAACAACAGCTTGAGAAACTTGAACTCCTTGTTAGTCAAGGGGTACTGTTCCCAATGCCATGCAATGCCAAGTAGGCATCTCAGCTATAAACACTTCACAACATCCAGAAGCTGAGATACTCAGGGTAGATATAATTCCCCCACACAAGTTTTTTTTGACCACCTCGCAAGTTTCTGCCTATAGGTGTGAAATCCTCAAAGGATTCTTTAAACTGTCTGACAAAATCCTCTGTCAGGGTCAGCAGCTCCCAATTCCAATTCAAAAGCCTCGACATTAAAATATCCTAAATAGCAACTATAGAAAAAAAAATGCAAATCAGATGTTAAAAAAAACTACATGAATTTAAAATGGTAAGGATAAGGAGATATGGTGCAAAGCATTTTTTTCAAATCAGAATTAAGCTACATAGCTGAAATTTGAATCAATGGTTCTTGGTATACTTTAAAACTAGGACTAACCAGAATTCTAAAAGTATTGTGTTTTGTGCAGATACTACATTTTGGTGATGCTTGTTTTTTTTTTTTTATCCTATTTTTTTCTCTAGTCAAAGAAGAAATTCCAGGCAACTGAGGCTCCGGTACTGAATACCATAACTTTCAAAGATCGTACTGAGCTCCCTATGCCTACCAGTGTCTGCTCGTTTCATTCTGTGTTACCAGAGGATGTTACTGAGTTAGAATTTTTGAAGGAGTCTATTGCCTGGCCAGAAACACCATCTCTACCATCTGACTTTTCTCTGAACGACACAAGTGATCCTGTTCACAGCACCTTCACCATTATTCCAAAAGATGGTGGTGGAAGTTGGCACGTAGGCGATCAACTGAAGGTTTTGATAAAAATTGCTGACTTCCATAGTCGTCCAAAGAAGTCAGGGGGAGACGTTCTTCTTGCTCGGATACACAACCCTACTCTTCATGCAGGCGTGGCAGGGCAAGTGGTGGATCATCTCAATGGTTCCTACACTGCTGTATTCTCTTTACTCTGGGAAGGAAGTGCACAAGTAGAGGTAACAGTAAAACCTTTCTTGCTAAGCGTGTGTGATGAAAAAAAAAGTCCTTCATAAATAGAAGAGATCATGGTCATAAGCCTCTCTCTTAAAAGTGTAGAGAGTGTCTCCCTGTCTAATTATTTACAGAGAAGGGATATCCCTTAGGTGTTTAGGTGCTGGCTTTTAAAGTGGCAGTTGATTTATATGCAATTTATTTACATTCTCAAAGCATTTTTGAAGGAAAGGGTTGTTTTCAGGACCCCAGTGAATTCCAGAGTGTTACTGTAATCAGAAAAATTATCTGCCCTGATAGCTCACCTTAATTATTCATTCCTTTCACCTGCTTAACTCAGCCCAGCTCCTAATTATCACTCATCTTATCCACCTGCTTTATATTCGGCTCAGTCAAGCTATCAGGGCCAGATCATTGTTTGTTTGTTTTCTTTTTGATGTCTTTTGGTTCTGTTTTGTTAGTTTTTGCTATTCAAAGGTTCATGTCCCTGTTCCAACAAAGAGATTATTCTCGAGTCTTTGTCTTCGGGAGAGTTTATTCCCTAACCAGTGGCGAGAGCATTTCAGCGTTTCCTACTGATTTTGATTTCCTGATTCTGTTCCATCTCACCCACTGGTCTTGTCTGTCCCCCGTCTGAGCTGTTCGCCTGAACCATCTTTGGATTCCTGCTGGATTCTGTCTTTCTTTCTCGGTGCGTTTCTTTCTGAGGTGGTTGCTCGACTCACGGAACCTGCTTTCATGCTCTGTGGGTTCTTGGAACCCTGGATCTGTCTGTTTCTGTGTGGATCGGGACCCCTGACCAGGCTGAGGACTCCTGGATTCCAGAACTGTTCCTGTCTGATCTGAATATCTAAACTGGATGGGATTCCTTCCCGCTTATTGGGGTTGCTGCATAGGGGATACTCCTCCAAGCTCCAGATTACTACAATTCAAGACTAGTATGTAAAGCTCATGTTTAGACTTTCTATTGTCCAAATTTTCCTACCTCTTGACCGTAGAAGATTGGGAATACTCTCTCTGATGAGTGACACCTCTCTGTCCAGCAATCCAAACACTGGTAATGATAATGATCCAAACTTTTTTTTCTTTAAGTGTCAGTTGTAAAGTTTAGTCCAGAAGGAACAAAAGTGCTGTAATGTGAAATATGGACGATACATATAATTATAGACCAGTAAACCTTTTATATTGAGTCTGTAGCTGATTAATTACTTTCAAGACATCCCCAAAGAGAAAATATCCAAGTTGGAATGCCTGTGATTTCATGTGGCCCCAAACTAAAGTTTTTTCCATAGCCTGAAATCATTTTTTTTATTACACAGCCACAACAATAGAACATAAGGAAAAGTGCATTAATTACCACCTTACTCGTAGGCCAGACATCTTTCTTCAAACTTGAATTCAAAAGTTAAGTAAGCTCTGTTTTCTCTGAAATCAATAACTAAAGCAGGAAGCCACATAGCCAAGCTGTCCATAGTTTTATTTCGGCTCTGTCTCCTCCACATGCAAAGGATGATGGCAGTCTTGGCAATCAGGAGCTTAAATCACTTTCTTGTGATATATACCTTGGGTTCCAGTGGTAACATTATCAGAACTGATTCTCTCCAGGAAAAGTTGGCCCTCAAAAGGAAGGTGGATGGAAAATCTCAGTTTTAATGTGTGGCAAAAAGAACAGAGCTAAAACAATAAAGAGTAGCTAACCATCCAACATGAAACCTATACAAAGTGCAGCTCAACCAGCTAGATACTCAATAACCTTCAAGTTATTTAAAATTGCTTTAATTAACATAAGATCTCTGTCAGGAAAATAGTTATCAGTTATCTAATTTTTGGGCTGCTCAGTGGCGCAGTGGGTAGCACTGCTGCCATGAAGCAAGAATGTTCTGGGGTCGGTTCCCGGCCCAGGGTCTTTCTGCATGGAGTTTGCATGTTCTCCCTGAGCATGCATGGGTTCTCTACGGGTACTCCGGCTTCCTACCACAGTCCAAAAACATGACTGTTAGATTAATTGGCTTCACTAAATTCTCCTTTGGTGTGAGTGTGTGCGTGAATGGTTATATGTCATTTTAGTCTCTTTGTTGCCTTGCAATGGACTGGCGACTTGTCCAGGGTGTACCCGGCCTCTCGGGTACACCCTGGACAGCTGGAGATCGGTACCAGCACCACTTGTCATTGTATTTGACACCTAATTTAATTTTGCAGTGTTTTTCCTGTTTCATACCTTAGTTTGTACATTTTGTTTAAAAATTCTTGTTCTTTTTAACAAGGTAACCCTGGTCCACCCCAGCGAGGCAGTCACAGTGCTACAGCAAATCACCCAAGAGCAGCCTGCTAGAATTTCTTTTAAAAGCATCTTCCGCTCAGGTTCTGTCACTGAAACTGCCACATGTAATGTGTGCCTAAAGTCTCCCCCGGAGCAGCTGTGCAACTTCACTGACATCCGCACAGGTGAGCCTTGGTTCTGCTACAAGCCAAAGAAACTTAAATGTGAGGACAGGCTCGACCACTCATTTGAAGGATTCAGTCAAAACCTAAAGCCAATGGAGGACAAGCTTTTTCAAAGGTGTGTAATGGTAATTGTAAAATTAACTATTTCAATGCAGCATAACATGATTTGCCAAACAGGATCTGACAAAAGCATTTAGAAGCTACATCATTATAGGGAGCTTTCAATTGATGTACATTATAACAAAATTCATATCATTTCCAGTAGGTCTGTTTCTTTGTAATAACCAGACACCACTTAATGTCATGTTGGGTTCAAGGTGTCTAACCCACATGCAGAAACAACTCTTTAGGCAGGGAAAAAGTTTAAATGATTTATTTACAAAGTGTCAATGAAAGTGAAGCTCGGGTTCTGGGTTCTTCGGACAGGTCACAGGAGGAACACCACTGAGGAGGACAGAGCAGTTAGGATTGATCCAGGAAACTTGCAGTTTAAAGATGACGGGGTAGAATACCTGAGATGGATCTGATCAGCGGGGGGGGGGGGGGGGACCTTGTGAGTCCAGATGCAAGTCGGCAGGCAGAGGGCTGAGGGCAGAGGCAGAGACTGAGACTGAGTGCGGGCAGGCAGATTCCAGACAGATTTCTTTCTCCAGGATTTCAGGTTTCAGGAAAGTCAGGATCTGTGAGGCAGAGAGATACAGGGTCAGACAGGTTCTCAAAAATCAGGGTTACAGATTTAGGCAGGCTGGCTCAGGTTTTGCTAACCATTACTGGCAAACACTCTGGCAGGGAAGTGTCAGCCTCCTCCTCCTTAAGTAGGTCACCTAATGAGCAAACAGGAAACAGGTGTGTAGGAGAAGCTCATGCCTGAGGAAGATCTCAGGCACCCTCTGGTGGAGAAAGTGGACAAGCCTCCAGATCCCAACACTTAATGATAAAATCTCTCCAGAACTTTTCTTGAGAATATTTGAACTTATTGCTAAAGAAGCTACTTTTCACTTAATTTGATCTATATTGAATTTATAAGGTTAAATATATATTAATATGACCTTCCAATTAATTGCTGTCCAAGTGTAGTTACTTAAGCAGATCAAATAACACAAAAGTATTTATTATTCAAGAAAATATAAAAGGAAATAATTGAATCACAAATTATGTTAAAAAAATAAGGTACAATGTTGTACAATTCAGTTTCTTTTATTTAGATTAGATAATCTGTGTTTTTGGCAAAAATTTTGAATTTAAGATCTGACTTCCACAAAAATAACTGCGCCCTTGATTGTAACATCTCATTCTGGTTTTTTTATATGCTTAAGATGTTGTAACTCAAAGAGGTTTTTTAAGAAGTTGTTGCAGATGTAAACAGCTGTGGGCAAGAAGGATCCTCCATAGTTGTCTGTCTTGAATCACTCTCTAGTTGATCAACAGTCAATGCTCAGTGTTGTCTACAATGTTATTGAATTTATGAAGATTTTTTCTTTGTGAAATCAGAGATGTGTGGAGACTTGTGCAAGTGTATTGCCATTGGCCTCACCTCAAGGGTGTTTTTTCACAACCTCATTGAGTTTGCAATGAAGGCCTATTGATGTTGTGTGATCCAAGTGTGTGGCATTGAGTAGTAGGCTTTCTTGTATTCAATCCAGGCAGTGCTCAGGTTAGTGTTATGTGTTCAACAACAAAAAACAACACTAAAATTTCTGAAAAGTACTTTAAATCAGTCATACATGTCTTAATCAATTCTAGGACATATCCTGACGTTTGAAAAAGGAGGCAAGGGAACCAGAATAAAGTGTTAGCCTCGCTGCATGCAGTTAGCCAAGCCTTGCTGCTAAATAAGTATATAAACCTATCAGTCAGCCGCACTTTCAGCTCTGGACGCATGAGAGCTGCGCCCCAGGATGGTCCTATCTTTTGCATTGAAGAGGAGCTACTGTGCATGTAAAATATTTAACAAGACTCTAGATTTTCGGCAAAAAAACGCTTTAGTCATCATTAAAGATTATATATTTATCTTAGACATAAAAAAAATATTATATTTCTAAATATTCGAATTTTATTATTTAATTTTTGTTTTCTTATGTCATAATCAAGGTTATTGGGTATGTGGGTCGGCGCCCAACTATCCTCTATTAGCCAGCAGCTACTGCTAACATGTTAACGTCTTTTTTTATATTCAGTATCCTAATAAGTTCATGTTATATTATATTTTATAAACATTTCTAAGTTTAACTATGTATAAACAGATATTTTTTATGACTCGGACAGTATTTGATAAAACTGCCACAAAAATAGTGTAAAACCATAATACGATTCTTAAAACCAGTTTCTCCTAAACATTAATCCTAGAGTCAATCAACTTTACATGAACTCCTTAATCTATAACTTGCCTCATACTCATAATAACAAGGCAAATGTGTTTCCATCTTCAATTTAGTGCAATAACCTTTTTGGGAAAGAAAAGCTCTGTGTAATGTGAAAACTATTTTTTCTGCAAGATTACAAAGTCTGATATTTCCATCAAACCTTTCAAGTGCATTACTTAGAATTCTTGCATTTAAAATCTGCAATAAAAACGTTGATAGAAATAAGACTCAAGTGGCTCTAGTCAGAGAGTTTTTCACCGGACTGAAATCCAGTACACAACCACACCTGTCAGTACGGAATTATTTATTAAATAAATGTTGATAATAATATTAAATATACTGTCTAAGTTCAAATCAGAATTAACTAAATGTAATTGCATTAAAAGTTATTTAGATCAAGAAAGCTTGACATTTAACAGAATAATATCTAGTTCAAATTCTTTTTATTCAAACGTTTATATCTTTATGTGTTGTGCTATAGGGGAGTCAACATGAAAGTCTTCCTTCGAGCATCAGGGCCTTCTAACATCACTATTTTTCCCAAGCCAAAAGGTAAAAGGCTTTTTGAATCTGACATAAATTGCCCCACAAAACGATTACAAATCAGTAAATGTACTTTCCTTTTTTTCAGATCTGAAGGAAACAACCTTCAGAAACACATCAGGTAAAAGCAATTTTAAACAAGTTCAAGTGTTTTAAAATATTTTTTGCTTTTTTCACATTGTTATTGTTTTTCATCTGTCTTCTGACTTAAAAGGGGAAAGTGTTAGGACTCAGCCTTCAGGTTATTACTATCAGGGAACATGGCAAGCACTAGAAAGCACCACAGTTCACCAGTTTACCAACAGCTCTATTAGCCAGTGTCTAAAAGGCAAGGTGCTTCACCTGTACGGAGACTCCACCATCAGGCAGTGGTTTGAATATTTACTCACATCAACAGAAGGTAAAATCCCAGTAAAAATCTCTGATCATATTATGAATTGGTTCATGGTTCTGTCTAATCTGATCTTTTTATTAATTTCAGATCTCAAGAAGTTTGACCTCAAAACGGCAAAGCAGACAGGACCTTTTATTGCCTTGGATTATACAAAGAACACCATGGTGACATTCAACTGCCATGCTCCTCCCATCCGTTTTGGTAACTTGCCAGTCAGTCTCCAACATTATGTTGCCAATGAACTGGACAATGTAGTTGGAGGCACAGACACTGCCATAGTTATTGGAGTCTGGTCCCACTTCAGTACTTTCCCTGTTGAGGTCTACATCCGTCGTCTTCTGAGCATAAGGAAGGCAGTATTACGACTGTTAAACAGAGCGCCAGGTACGGCGATCATCATCCGGACTCCTAATCCCAAAGCTTTGACACTCTATGAGACACTAACCAACAGTGACTGGTTTTCACTTCAGCAAAACAAATTACTCAGGATTATATTTAAAGGGGTGAATGTTAAAATTGTTGATGCCTGGGAGATGACTTTGGCCCACCACCTGCCACACAACCTCCACCCACAGCCACCTATAATAATGAATATGGTAAATGTTGTTTTGTCCCACATATGTCGCTCTGAAGGGAAAATTTATAAAAGCTACTATGGAAGTGGAACAACAAGGTAATCAGGCAATAAAAATGTACTTATGATCTGAAAGAAACCCTGAAAAAATTGTAAAAAAAAAAATAAGGCAAGAGAGTAGTTAGACATTGTTGTACGTAGGATTTTAAAATTTATATACAGGGGCAAGTTTTTAGAGGTGCTAAGCACTATACAATGTACCAATCTTTCACCTAATTTTCATACCACGCAAGCTGGAATTTTTGCTCAAAATCCTCAGACTCTGGTGGGTTTTTCCAATGTTGTTGAACTGCTCTCACTCACCGTCTCAATCTTGATCCTCTACTCATATCTCTTTCTCCTTCGCTTTTTCTACAGTTGACCAAAAGACGTTCTTTACATGTATGAAGTTCACTTTAATAAAACAAATAAATACCCAAACATCACCTCTGACTTTCTTCTTTTTCATGTTTTATACCAGAATTCTTGAGCAGTATCTATTCAGTCAGTGTCAGTAAAAGGTAATGGCTGGCATTAAACCAAATGTCATGTGCTCAGAACTTAGAGGCAGGGATCCCCCTAGCTTTGACTGCTCTGGTTTAGCGAGAAACACAGGTAAGTGACCATGATAATCTGACAGAAGATGATTATCCATGTGAGTCACTTACCTTGTTTAAAAGTCCAGTCCAACTCCTAAGAGGATCTAGCTGGAGGGTTGCCAATAAATGCGTCGGGAGCCGCCCAGAGTGAAACCAGATGCTGCAGCCCCAGTCTGTCAGGAGTCTGAGCCAGGTCTGGGAACCTGTTCAAAACAAGAAGGTTCTGAGATCCAGTGTCCGTAACCTGGTCAGGGGTTCCGATCAGAACAGGAACAGGCAGATCCAAGGTTCCAGGAATCCATGGAGCATTCAGGCAGGTTCAGCGTTCCATGAGTCCATCCAATTGTTCAGGCAGAGCATTCTGATGGGAGCAGACAAGCTCTGTAGTTGAGAGGCAGAACAAGGCAGGAAAACTGTATTCCTCCTCCTTGTCATAGCTTTGCATCAGCTCCCTTCTGCTCTGCCGACAGACATACTCAAAGAGGGTGATTATGTCAATGCCTGTTAACTCATCTTTCTGGTGGTCTGGTCCTACTGTCAGGATATTTAGTGGAAAATAACTAAAGCAGCCATTAGTTACCACCAGGAATGAAAAGCTTTTGCTTGACCTAAGGTACAGCAGATGTTAGCTTAGCATCAGCACAAACTAGATTGTTTGCGTGTTTCAGAAATTTTTATGGAAAAAATTAAATGATAAAGTAAAAAAAACCTAGAGAATATAGTATATCTATACAGAGCACTCAGGGGTCATTGGCATAATAAATCTGATTAAATATATGTAAAATCTGACTGTCTAATTTTGCTTTATCATTAAAAAACTGTTTATTTTAGTATGTGGCGAACATGAAGCACCAACCAAAAACAAAAATTATTGTCACGATGAAACAAATAATTTTGATGGATTTTGGGTTTTTTTAAATACCAAAATAATAACCAAAATGAGCTTAAATGAAACAAAACTAACATATCTATTCATAAAATGTAAAGAGTTGAAAGTAAATATAAAAGTCTAATAAAGTGTCTACTTCAGTAAGGTCAAAAAGTAATTATACTTTGTTACCTGACACATCTGATCAAACTAATGTTTTCCTAAGCAGTTTATCTAATACGGCAGTTCCTCTTTCAGGATATGCAGTTATAATGTTCATTATGTATAAAACAGAGATTTGGAAATGAACCGATCTGCTCTTTCTGCAGAAGGAGTGGATGATTCTTAAGAGTGAGCCATCTCTCACTGGGCATTCGGAGTGGCCTTGATCTAAGAACAGGGTGTTATTTTGATATGGCTGGACCCAGAGATGTCTCCATATTTGCAAACATGTATGATGTAATATGACATGTGATGATGTGGCAGGGTGTAATACTGGAGTTATAAAACATGCGTCTTTAACTTTGGGTCTGACTTCCTGAAGTCATCTGTAACACAAGTCCAGCCATTTTTTATTTCTTACTCAGTCCTCGGCAGAAAGTTGGCAGGTTTTGGGTCATTGTCATCTCACAGGTTTCATTTGTGCCACAGCTTTATTTATTTTTTTTGTTTCTAAATGGTCTGACATTTTACTCATGTGCCATCAAATACAACAAGGAATTCAATGTGAATTCTTTAGAGTCGCTCTTGTCAGGTCCTGCTGCAGCGTAAAGTATCACCAAACCATGACAGTTCCACCTCCATTTTCATAGTAGGTATTAAAATCTATCAGATGTGGTTTATACCAAATAAAAAATTTAAAAAAGAGCCCTGCCCCAAAATGCATGAATCATAATGCTGCTTTTGGAAAGCTGCATTAAGAGTGTGATGCGCATCATTGGTGAGGAAATTTTCTTGTCAATATTTTTTTTAAAAGCACTCTGCATCCTGTTTCTCAAGATCGAATCATTTCCTGTGTCACTTCAACTCGTTTCAGTTTACAGACTGAGCTTCACAGAGAACTGAGAGGATGTTGCTGTGGGCCGTGGTTATCCTGAATTTGGGGACTTTGTCCATGTCGCTGCCTCAGATCAGTGACAAGAACTTCACTGCAGAATGCGTGAGGGAGCACAACGAAGCCCGCTCAGCTGTCAGCCCATCTTCGAGCGACATGCTTTACATGGTAAGTACTGCACACCTCACCTGTGTTTCACTTAAAAAAAAACGAGACCAAGCAGTGTTTACTGTTTAAGCACCAACATTTATGGCATACTATTAGAATGTACTTTCTTTCAGTTATGCCGTTAAAAAAGGGGAAGCTTGCAAAAGCTACATACAGTGTTGCACTCATACGACTTCCCCAAAAATAACACAAATGCTATGTTTAACTGACTTAACCAAGTCATGTCAACCGGTTCAAATTAGCTTATTTAATTAAGTGCAAAGAGTATCACGTGGATACTTTAATAATAACTATTACAGACAACTAAGGATTACTAAATCCAGCATTATAGACTTAGATTTGTATAACTTATTGCTGCTAGTAAAACTTAACAGATACTAATACGATGTAATCATACTAGTTTGGTTAAGTTTAAAAGGTATTCTTGAATTCTAATTCAGGGCCAAGACACTTCACCCAAATTACCTACTGTGGTTACAATGTAGCTTGCCACCATGAGTGTGTAAGTGTGTGTGTGGGGGTGAAGAACTGAAGGCCTAAAGCACTTTGGTCAAGTCTCCTAACTTAAAAAAGCACTGTATAGTTAGGATTTACCAGTTGCATTAATGTTATTGAGTTTCATTGATGAAGTTTCTTATATTGCAAATTAACGGTTATATTTTCTATGATTTTAAATTTCCTTTATAAAAGTATCAAACCTTTTACATTGCAGTGTCCATATAATCTGTAAAACTCCCTGCATAATTATAATAAAGCAATTTATATGCATGAAACAAGCGGAACACTATGGCGATAGCCATGCTGCTACACTTGTGAAAGTAAAATCTGTTGGGCTCTTTTTGGAATCAAGACAATTATTCTTAATGCCACATTGCCAGACAGGACACTGCTTAAAAAAAAAAAAAGTATCAAACCTAAACTCTTGACTATATTAATAAGAAGATAAATGGCCTGTACTTATTTAGCACTTTTTCAAGTAAGGACACTTGACCAAAGCTCTTACAATACATTCAGTCATTCACATGCTGGCACGCCGGTGGTGCTAAGCAACATTGTAGCCACAGCTATCCTGGGTCTCACTGATAGAAGCCGCGGTATACCGGCCCCACCGGGCCTTCTGACCACCATCAGTAGGCAATTTAGGTGAAGCTGATTGCCTTTGGACACAATGGCACCTAAAACCAGCCTCAGGACTTGAACTAACAACCCTTTAGTTGCAGGAGAGACTCTTGCATACGACACCAGTGTTACCCCTGAAGTCCTGTCTCAGACAAGATATTTAGTTGTGAAAAATAAGAACCATAGTTGCATGAAATAACTGAATATAAAACGCATTTTCAAATGACACAGTTAGCATGATGCAAAGCATCCTGGGAAATAACAGGAAATCCACTTCCATTAACTGCTACAGACAATATTCTTTTGCCTAAAATCTATTTTTTACATTAAATTAAAAACTGCTTATGTTTAGCAGGAAAAAAATTATTTTAAGTATTAAACTGACTATAAGATATAAGCATGAAACATGCCAAGTCCCAGTCTTATTTCTCACATGGGAAGGAACTATAAATGATATTAATTAAAGCATGTAAACCTATTTCATATTAAGTAACAGAGTTATAAGGAAATTAATCCCTTTTGATTCAATATATATTTGTGTTATTTTAATTACAATTTCACTTGTTAATGTTATGCATATCAAGCTAGTTTTGTTGGTAATCTGACTATAAAACAGTTAACTAGAGCCAAATGTATTTCTGTTTAATTTTTTAAACATTATAATACATAAAATACTCTTTCTGAGTGGATTTTTCTTAATTCACAATACAGTGAAACTAATAATGTATTTCAAAGTAATCACCTAGAATCAGAAGTTCCTGTTCTTATAAATGATTAAAGCGAAATAACAATTGCTGTGTTTCATGTCGTTGCATGTGCTGATGAAGTCATGGGACGAAGCGTTGGCCGTTACTGCCAGAGCATGGGCCAAACACTGCCAATTTAAGCACAACATCTACCTGAAGGAGGTCCAGCGTGTGCACCCTACCTATCATTCCGTAGGAGAGAACATATGGGTGGGGACCCCCCCGTCATACTTCAGCGTAAAGGGAGCCTTGAGAAGTTGGGTGAATGAAAAGCAGTTTTACAGCTACGAGGCAAACAGCTGCAAAGGCATGTGTGGTCATTACACACAGGTATGTGCACAGTGAGAACACTGTTCATCTACAGCTGATTCAGGTGTGGGACACCTTTATTTGATCAGTATCTGACATTAGCACTCAGCTTTTGTTGTTTTATGACACCTGAGATTAATGTTTTCAGTCTGCTAAATTCCAGAACAGTGTCAAATTTTCCACAAATAAAGTTTGGATTACTATGCTTTTAAACTGGAGGTCTTGAACAGGGGGTCCGCGACCCCTAGGGGGTCCACGGAGGTACTGCATGGGGGTCGCAAAAGTTTCGGTTGGTTAGACTTTTTATATATATTCTCCCCCTGCATTTTTTCTACTAATTGAATTGAATTCAACACACTGTAGTAAACAGAAAAATGGAGGCAGAAGATGTCTTTTAGTCATCAATGCTCACATTCAGCGACACACAGGAGCTTTTTCCTGTCCCATCAACCAGGAATCAGAATCACAAATGCTTTAATAATCCTAGGGAGAAATTACTTTCCTTGCATTACTCCATCTGTGATGGAGTGACTATTGGACCAATTTGATTTAACACAAATTCATATAATATATATAATTAGGGGGTCCTTGCTCTATCTCACCATCAGTTTGGGGGTCCTTGGCCCTGGAAAACGTTGAAGAACCCTGTTTTAAACAGTTTGAGTAAGTCGGTTTGATTATGTCAGGACTTGCAAGCTCCTTGAAGGGTTATTTTAACAATATGAGTTAAATTAGAACTAACCGGAAAAATTAGCTAATCAAACCTGCTGGAAAAATCAAATCTCCCCAGATATCAATTAAAGACCTGGTACCTTCCTAAGGGACAGTTTCCAGATACTTAAAGATGGTGACTTGATTAGTTCAAACAATGATATGCCAGGATAAACACCAGATAGACATTCATTTTTTGAAAAGTGCTTATTAACTCAAGAGGGAAAGCAAAACGTCTTGTGACGATACAGACTGCTGCAAAGGAAGAAGCAATTTCTGCAAAAGCAACATAAAAAACATCAGATTTATACACGCAAACTGGGACAGAAATTTTACCTTCGGACGTATTTAGCAGTGATAAATTTTGTTAAATCTGAAGTAAAAAAGTGGGAGGATCATATGGGTGTTTTGTGACAGCAGAGACTGGTATACTTCAAGAAACTGCAGGGCAACTATGGATCAGTGGGTAGAGTAATACTGTTTCACTAAGAAGATTTAAACTTTGATTCTAGCTTCTTCCTGCAAGGCACCTAAAGTTGGTGACTGACCTGTGTATTGGTGTATGAACATGTGAAAACTGTGAGCTAAGTTGGTTGTTTGGACACACTATGCAACATTTTTCAGTTAATTAATGTGTTCCATAACGTTTTGGATGATGAAATGAGTCATTTCAGGTTGAACAAAGGTATTCTCGGCCGCCCTGGTGGTCTGTGGGGGAAATAACGCACTTGCAATTGCAGGAGCACCGACCCGCACCCACTAGAGACTGACATTTTTTCAGGAATCCCATGGGTCACGGGATTCCCGTGGGATTCCCGTGGGATGGGAGTCAGTATTAGTAACAATCACGGGATTGGGAAGGTACAGGATTAAACATTAACGGGAGCAGACGGGAGCGGGAGCAAACCAATAGTAACTTCCGCTCTGAGTTTTTCACCCGCGCTCAAAAACAACAAGAATGGGAGTGGTGCAGGAGCGGGAGTCATTCTGAATGGGAGCGGGATGGGAGTGGGAGTAATTTCACCAGGAGTGGGACGAGACAGGATTTAGATTTCTACTCTGGCCCGGGATCGGGACGGGACACCATTTTTTTCTGTGGGAGTGGGACGGGACAGGAGTGAAAATTCACTCCTGTGTCAGTCTCTAGCACCCACAGGTTCAGAAGTCTCGCGAGAGTTGGTCTTGCTTTACGGCGAGAACTGCTACACCCCCCAGTTAAAAGCATGCTCGTTGCTAGCACAGTGGCGATCTTTGTGCAGTGCTGCTTTCAAACTGGACGCAGCAAAAGCAGCAAAATCGCGTCTGCTGCTTCATTTTTGCTGCTTGTACCAGTTAGTTCTGACGCGCGGCTGAAGCAGCTTTGCTGCTCTGGCTGCGCGGTGCAAAAGTGTGTCTGACGCGCGTTGGGCGGAGCTTCACTATCCTTTCTCTGCCTTGCAGCTATATTTGCTGTGATCAGTGGGAATAAAGTAGTTTTAATATGTTTTTAAGTGAGAAAATACACCTGAAAACGTAATCAGTGCAGTCAGTTCATTCAGATTATCATCCTCCCTTACTATATTTTTTCTGTCGGAGCCGCTCAGACCCCCACATACCAGCGGTGCGCCGACAGTAGGAATCCCTTCATCAGCAGCCTCTGGCCAGGTCGCCTCCTCGCGGTTCACCGCGGCAGCTGGTAGGTGTTACGACAGTGCACTTTTACTTTCGCCCTCTGGGGGGAGCCTCGCCGGAAAATCAACACCGGTTGCATAGTGTACCTTTAAGAACTGACTTAAAACAGGAAATATTGAATTTGATTTTACCCTTAATAGGGCAAGTTAGCGTTTTTGATCACTTGCATACCCCTTAAAAATGGAGCCCCCCCCATCCCTCAGTGAGTTCTAGAAGAACAAGATCTATATCCAGCCATTCAGCAAAAAGGCTGCTACATGGCTGTACATCTTATTTGGCATTTGACCAATTGGATGAGCCCTTGAATGATAGATTACCTACTGTAAATAAAGTAGGAAAAAAGTTAAGATAAGCAAAAAAGGTAAAAAGCTAACTGAAATTTTCAAAAGTAAAGTTCAAAAGTTAATAAGCCTAGTTAACAATTATATTTAGATTTATTAGATACAAAATGTAAGTGCCAGTATCAGCATTAATGTCTCTAAGGTTATGTTGGACCAAAAAAAATTTTTGTGTTTTTCATGAATTTCTAATTGAAGCACTTTTGTTATTTTTCTTAGCATATTAGGGCAAGTTGGCGTTTCTTGTTATTACATTGACATACATTTTTGCCATCAAAATATCCATACTTTTTTAATGTTACAAAGGTAATAAGGTCTTGTCCTGGATTCCAATAACTGTATTGACTTGAAATTTTGTTTTTCAAACTATTTCATTGAGTGCCCTATAAAGGGTTAATGTCAGACAGAGAAAACAAGCTAATGTGAGATTTAACGCAGCATAATGTACATAAACATCTGGTCTTAACTGCATCACACTTGCGTTTTCAGGTTGTGTGGGCAAACAGCTACAAGGTTGGCTGTGCTGTCCAGCTCTGCCCAAATGGCATTAAAAACTTCGATGGCCGTGAGGGTGCCATTTTCGTATGCAACTACGCCCCAAGGTAACCTGAACTCTGTATTTGATGAGAAAGGAAGTGGTTTTTAAAAAGAATATAGACCTGATGAGGCAGGAAATGGTATACCATCAAACTCTTCAACAGCAACCGCTTGTTTTCTATTTTTAAAGCCAGGCTGCACATTGACAACTAGAAGCCTATTTAACAGTTCAGGACTAATAACAAACAGGAGGTTTGGTTCAAAGGTCTCTGGACCAAAAATGATGCTTCCTTTAGCAGTATTACTGGATCTCAGCAGGATTTGACATTGATGATCACTCACTTTAATTAGAGCTGCTATACATCTTGGTTTGCCTTTCTGGACAGGTTCAGACCCTACTTGAAAAAAAACTGAACATTTAGAGACCACAAAAATCACATGTGATGTTCCCCAAGGATCCATCTTAGGGTGCCTCCTATTGAATATCTACATGCCCCTCTAACTCAGATCTCAATGAACAAGAAAAGTTAACGTACGTTAAGATTTCATCAAGTGATGATGATCCCATTTAAGATTTGGGTTAATAAACAAATAGTAGAAATCAACACATTGATGGGACAATATTTTTTTTGCATCAAAATAATTGAAATGATTATTATTTATTTATTTTTTTGGAGCATTTAAAGGTTAGCACACAGCTTCAGGTAATCTAGCTAGAAACCACCAATAATCAATTTGGGTGATAGACTCAACCCTGAACCTTCATAAGCTCATTGCGATGGTAACAACCTCGGCCTTCAGTCACTTAAAGAACGTCTCCAGGTTTTAAGGACTAATGTCTCAGCAGGCACTTAAATAACTATTTAATGTGTTCATCTTTCGTAGAATAGATTACTGCAACGGGTCTGGCCAAAGGTCATAGTCGGCATACCCAGAAACAGAACCAAACATGGAGAACTTGCTTTAATTCTTATGCTCCATTCATCTGTAATTAACTCCAAGATAACTGTTGTTGCTTTAAAATCTATTTGTTAAAAGTGCACTTTGGCTGTGCTATCGAGACAGTCCATTCATTTTAATCAAAAAACATTTTTTTTCTTTCAAATATGAATTTTATAAATTTTTGTTCTCTAGAATAACTTGCGTTAGCTCCAGCAACTGGTTTGTACTTATCCTTCATTTCTCATGTACAGCACTTTGAATTTTTTTGCTATTGAAATATAAAAATTAACTTGATGTGTCTTGTAGCGGTAATTGGTTTGGAAAAAAGCCTTATGCTGAGGGGAATTCCTGCTCTAAATGCCAAGACATTTGTGAGCACGGTCTCTGCCGTAAGTATTATGCTTAATAGTTGAAGTAATGAATTTAACAACAATTATTGGACTCATTTTACTGAACTTACATGCATGGAATGGGAAATAAAGCTTGTGTGTCTCTGCAGGGAGTGGAGAACGAGACAAACTAAGAAGTAAGTCCAAAAAGCCAGAAATGTTCAAAATAAAAGTGACAATTTATAAAAAAAATCTGACTTTTGGTTTTCGTTTAGGCTACAGCTGGACTCCGGACTGGGACCCCGACAACTTTAGCAAAAATTTTAAAGTTATCCTGATTGTCCGGCCCATTTTCCTCATCCTGATATGCATTTCTGCATACGCTGTCCGTTATTTTTACCCTGATGTCTTCTGCTACGAGTAGACCTTTTGTTGTTAAAGTAGAACCAGACGGACACCTCATTTATTTTAGTATTTTATTCTTAAAATAGTTGCATTTGTTCTTGAATTGAGGAGGTCAGTGAGACACTTTGCCAATTGAACAACATCATTTACATATGAAATAAGAACAAATAATTGCATTGTCTTATTTGAAGTGCATTTTATCTAATTATCTTATTTTAAGAGTAAAAATACTCATTCCGTTTGCAAATTATCTTATTTACCTACTCAAATTTAAGGGTAAATACACTTCAGAAATGTTGACTTATTTCTAGATCATTTTTGCAGTGTACCACTGTATTCAAGATTTCTTCCCCCAAAAACGAACAGATTTTTAACATCAAAGAGAGGCTGATTTCAAACTGCAGAACACCATGGAATCTGATGTAATATATTTTTCTTAAAGTCTTGTAATGGACAAGAATAAACAAAAATATCCCCTTAAAGACAAACAATGGGTAAAATCCACCAAGCCAAGTAAAACTGGACAATAACAGGTTAAAAAAAGAAACTTCTCCAGGTCGCATCACTCATTCCAGCTGCAACATTCAGGTAGTAGGGTCAGGATTGAGTTGCACATGAAAGGATGCTGCTGGTTATATATAGGAGAAGGATACTGGATGAGATGTTAACTCACCCAAAGGGGTAAATGGAGGATCTGAATGAAGAAAGCAATGCAAGCTAAAGGAGACTTTTCTTAGACTTGGATCCCATAAATTGCCAATTACGGATCAAAAATGAGCACTCAGAGATAAAGATTGTGTGTGAAATATGCAGTTTTTAAAACAAATGTAACACAAATAAAGCAGTCTAAATATAGAACTTTCTAAATCAGCATTTGCGAGAGTGTGAAAGTGTAACTGAATGGGTGAGTGACTGGAGCATTTCAATTGAAAAGCATTTTACAAGTACAGGAGTGTTTGTCGTTTTACTGGATCTATTTAACGTGTTCCATATTTTTGACTCTTTACAAAGTCTAAATCAAGCCCTTTAATTCCAAATGTTAGTTTTTTATTTCATAATTTCTCCATTTTTCTTTTTAGTCATTCTTTCTTAAGTTTTAATCATGATGCTCCTCTGTGATTAGATATATTCTGTAAAGCCCTTCCTGTGTGGATGAATTACGTCCCTTTGCATTGTATAGTAATGTGGTGGAAAGTACATTTATTTGTTTGTACTTTTTCTTTTTTTTTAAGGTAGTTCACAAGTTTAATTTGTACTTTTACCAGACTAGGTTTTAAGAATGTTTCTCAGTTACATTCAACAAACATCTGTTAGCCAGCGAAAATGAAAACAGGTCAAATAAAGAGGAAAAGCAGGGATAGTAATCAAGCCCGTAGGGGGCGCTGACACAAACCCGACCTATAGTTAAACTGGATCTATCAGTAATTATACAGATTAAACTGCCTACCTTTAACAACTCAACATCAAACCTGTAAGCATGTGGATGAAAAAATAAAAAGGTTAGAGTTTAGTTAGAAACTTTTTTTGGACGGTGGTGGTTGATGGGCCTTTTTTTGTCTTAAGCAACCGCACGTCATGTGAAGCTTAAATAAGCATCGTTAGCTCTAACCTGGTAAAAATGTATTACTGCAGGTCTTTAAAAGGTGGAGAGTATTTAGTTTAGGCCTCAGACTATGACCATGTAAACTTACCGAATAGGTTTGCAAAAGTAAAACTCAATGTTTCCTGAGTAAATGATCAGATTCATCCCTTTATAAAAACACACAGTACCTCCCAATGATTTACTTCATTAAGTACCTTTAAATAACAGGTGTTGTGTATTGCTCTATATAAATACAGTATGTCAACATGTTTGTCTTTTACATGCGTGCTTCTTTAATTCTCAACAGCTTAATATATAATTTTTTTCATGAAATTGACTAAAAGGATCTTCTTCTCACACAAAAGTAACAGTTTTACTTGAAATAGCTCCAATAAAGTACTTTGTGCTGTTTTCTAGTTATATTTGTATTAATGTCAACTTTTTATGTTTTTACTGGAATTAATATTTTTACAGTCTCTCAACCTACACATAGTGCCTGCTAGCTCTCCCTCTAAAAACACCATAAAGCCTCTAAAACTGCTTTTGATCTTGGGAACTTTAGTGAGGATGATATCAGTGGAATCTCAACACAAGGATGACAAAACAGTTTATAGAAGCAGGATTCAAGTCATTAAAAAAAAAAAAAACTTTACTTTTACAGATGCTACCACTATCATCAGTTCAAAACTGCGGCACAGGGCAGGAAATGGAGACAAGGAAGTAAGAAATGCGACTCTGTACATCATCTTTAACAGTCTTTGTATCTTAAAAGAATGAAAACTTGTTTGGGACTTAAACTCTGGAAAGAAATGTTTCACTCCTTTGCATTTCCAGTGTCTGTCTTCTGTCCAACAAACAGCAAATGTTAAAAACACGATGGAGCTGGATGTGTTCTTAGCCTTTGTCTTTTGTTTTCTTCTTCTTTTTGTCTGTGGTGTTGCTGGTGGGTGGAGCCGGGATCACAGGTGGAGCTCCCAGTTTCTTTGTTTTGGCTTTTTTGACTTTGTCCTTAATGGCTTTGATGTCCAGCTTCCCTTCTGGAGCTGCAACACAAACAGATGGTTAATCAGTCACCCTAGGATGTCAATCCTCTCATCTCTGACCTGTGTTTTCTATCTACCTTTAACTGTTTTCTTCATTAATGGCTTCTCTTTAGGAGGAATGAAGGCTTTGTTCCGCTCCTCCTGCTTCTTGGTCAGTGCTTCTGTTTGTTTGACCTGAGGAAGGAAAAAGGTTGCAAAAAAGGTCACATCAGCCATTCTTCAAAAGGATGGAAATTCATGTGTTTTTGTTTTATTTTTATTGTCGCCAACCTTTAATGAAAACATGTTTTCAGTAGGAACTAAGCACTAGAAAAAAAACAAAAAAAATCTTACCTTAATTTCCTCCATCTTCTTCCGCCTTTTCGCGCTTTCACGCAAAAAGAATTCACCCGAGGCAAGCTCCTTATCAACCTGTGAAAGAGTCCAAACCGTTAAAACTCCTTATAACTATGGACCCTTCTGATCTGATTATGCATTTCTTTTCAGCAGTAACTTTAAAAAACACACAAAGCTTCCTTGTGTGGCATCACTGGAAAATCCTGTACAGGGAAGAAATGCCCCCTTTATTGATATGGGCTGAAATGCCGCTCAGGGTGGAAGAAGCCATTATAAAAAAGCTATATAAATTATTTTGAAAACATGCCAAGTGGTCTGTTGGAACTAAAACTGAGGTAAACAACTTTTAGATTAATGGAAAGAGGGAGACGCTTGTAAACCTGTGAACCCAATCCCAGCTGTAATGTATGGAAGTGGCAGCATCATGTCATGGGACTGATTGCACTACAGTGAATGACTCGAGTAAAAAAGAAAAAGAAAAAAAAATGGAAACAGCATTTTGGGACAAAAGGAAAGCAAGTTAAAGCTACTAAATGGCCAATGCCTATTATTATACTGCCAAATAAGTAATAAGGTGACATAAGGGCTATGATATTCAATGTTTTGGATTGTCAATCTCAATGAAAACATTTAAAAAAAGATTCTCCAACAAGAAACTTCTGGCTTCTAATTTAAAGGTTTAGGGTCTAGAAAATATTCCGGTAATCTCAAATTATTAAAAACCATTGAAAGATTATCTATTTCTTTTCAATTTAATCTAATATTTGATTTCACCAAAATCCCTTAAAATTTTCTCTTACACTTTGATGTTTACAATGCATGGTAAAAATCATAGTAGTGACACATACATTCATTATTTTACACGCAAACTCTTTCTCACCTTGCTTTCTGGCTGTGTGGGTGGGAACGGCGTGTACTCCTTCTTCACACTCTTCTTCTTGGGCTCCTTGCGCTTGGAGAGGTTTTTGGAGCGGAACTTGGGCAGGAAGCGTTCCCAATTCTGTGTCCGCAGGTCCGGGTCTTTAGAAAGTTCTTGTTTGATCATCAGAGTCTGGCGGTAAAGACGGGGAGAATGATAAATGGTTAAAGCACATTGGCGGAACACCAGTGACGGTTAAAGGTTTAATGGTTGCGCCGACTAGCGTCTTATTTTTCATGCCTTCAGCTCCAGATGAAGCCAACCCTGGCTTTCAAATCCAGAGAGATTTATTTCAGTCAGGAAATCAAGAACAAGGATGGAAAAATCTTCATTAGACATGAATGCAGATTTGTAGCCTAAACTGGAAGCCCGTTAACCTGACTATGCATCTGAGAGCAGCTGAATATACCTTGATGTTGTAGATGGGGTGGATGTTCTTCATGGTGTCCATTACCACTTTTCGTACCTGTATAATAAAAGATTTTAGTGGCAATGAATTGGTTACAAAGAAGCAATCAAAAATGAGCATTTATTAATTCAGTTTATTATGAAAAACCTAATTAACTTATAAAAACAGTATAGTTTTTTTCGTTTTCTTACTGAAATCAAAACTAGGTACTCAAACAAAAACCCTGCAGTTTACTTTTTTGCTTTATATGGAATCAATTATTTAATTAGTGAAGGAAACTGGAAATAATTTTTTTCTTAAAATAAAAATATTGATAATAAAAACAGTTGGGGGCGTCTTTTCAAGTAATTTAACCTATTGGTATTTTGGTGCAATAACACCACATTTGCTGTAGTATATTTATTAAAATGTTTTGTTGTATTGAACAGTTTCTGATCTGAATATGCTACACATCATATTTCCCAATACTAACCCCTCTAATGACAGGCCGCTGAGAGATTCTTACCTCCTTCAGGCCACTGTAGGGCCCCAGTGCTGACACGGTGTTTCCCTGCACCATCACATAGCAGTTGGTCAACAACTCTAATGCCTAAACATGAGAAAACAAATGATATAATGATTAATTTGCAGAGAGGCGATGAGTTTGATAATGTGGCTAAAACACATTGCTGCCACCTAGTGGTATTGAGCTAATAATGAAATTGAAGCATCCCTGTAGGAGCAGAAGTCTGGGGCTAAAATAGACTTAAAATTAACAAATGCGATGCACACATGTACAGGGCAATGATGCACAATCTTATATATTAACAAGACAAGATTCAAAAAAGTATTTGTGATGCACAATTATGTCTTTATTTACAACCTACCAGTGATATTTGAATTTCAATGCAATGGATTTTTGAGACTCACCTGATGTGGCTTGATGCAAAAATACATTTTTTTTTTAAAGCCATGATTTGCAACCAATTAGATAACTCCATTATTTCAGACAATCACAAGAACCTATATTGCATGGTGATATATTTGTCACATGGAAGAGTGGGATTGCTTGTTTGAATCATTATGTGCATGTTCAAATCTTGCCCCTTGCACTTGTAGGTTTTGTTTTTTTCTGTGCATGTGTAAATCTTCTCCTGTACATGTGTGGATCACATATGTGAGTTTGTAAATATTGAGACTCTTCTAAATCCATACAAATGTTAATCTTGTTTAAACATTTCTTAAAGCTTTTATGCTATAATTGGTTTAATGCAACAACTTTTATATGAATGTTTAAATAAAATCCACAAGCTAAATTCCATAATAATGCAAACCTGCATCGACAGCTTACTTTTAAGGTGGAGCCCTTAGGGCCGATCAGCCGCTGCCTTCGCTTTACAAACCGCTCTCTGTTCCTCACCATGGTCCCGATTTTGATGATGTCACAGGCCACGTCATCTTGTAATATGCGGACAGCCTGGAAACAATAATCAATAACGATCAGTGGTTGGTTAGCAGTGAATGCGTTAAAGGTTGGAACTCAAATGAGCAGGTCTTTACCTGCTCATATGGGACACTCCTCGCCAGCAGCTTGATGAGGTCTCTTGCTTTCACGATAGCATACGGGTCGAAGGTCTTCTTGGTGGTGCTGACGGTCATGCTGCCCTCTATCAGGTCCAGAGAGGCTTTGATGTGCTGAGAAAAACACAAACAGCACATTACATCTAGGCTGCTTCTGAAAGTGGCAATCCGTATAAACAGCTTTATTTTCTTTTTTTTATTTTAAGACACTTGATTAGGCTGAAAATACAATCCCTAAAAATGTATCCGAGTAAAAAAAAACTTAAAAGCTATGCCAACCATCCCGGCACTGTGAAAAGTAACTAGTCCTTAAACCCAAAATATGACTGAGATGTGATAACTGCAAATAGGTGTTTAAAAACCAATATGGAGCACTTTCTTTTCAGAATGAATGGCTCTTTAACAGCTACTATGAAAGCATCTCAATAAGCTTTGAGCCTGGACTTAAACTAGGCCACTCCAGAACCTTTAGGTGTGAAAATGAGCCATCAACAATGATCGGAACTTTTCATTTATATTTGAAAGCATCATCTTGTGCATTTAAAAGAGCTCTAATTGTTTGATTCTTTTTCTTTGATAAAATATGATTAAAAACATTTAAGATTAATTGTGATCTAACAACTTTTATAAAGAGTAGGTTTATTTTAAAGAGTCGTTATCAGCCAGAAAACTGCAATCAGGGCACGCCTAAAACTGGGATCCTGTCTCAATGCAACCAAGGTTAAAAGGGAATCACCTTAAGTTTTAAATCATTGTTGAAACAAAACTGTGGAGGTCAAAAGATTAAATATATGAAAAGGCATTTATGTAATTTTGTCAGTTAAAACATAGTTTTCATGATCCCACTTTGCAATCGAGGGCAGGATTAGCTGCAGTTCAGAACATCTGCTTTTTATTTGCAATCTGGATTCCAGGTGGAAAGGTTTTCTCTGCTCTTTTCCCCGTTTTTTTTTTTTTTTTTTTGCCCCGGATTATAATGTAGCGGTCTTGGGTTTGGTGTCGTATTGAAGAAAAGAATAAGAAAAATAAATTAAATGTGAATTAAAAGCAAAATAAAGAGAGGTAATATCAGCATATCTGCATCATCACCTTATTGTTGTCAATTAGTTTCTTGCTGCACTTGAATGTAGCACCTGAACAGTCATCTGTTCCTTGACCAAAGAGAGCTTTCAATGACGTAATAGTTTATTATGATAATTTCCCACCAAGTATTTGATTAGTTTTGATTGAAGGATTCATCTATTCAGTTTACCTGCTTGACAAAGCAAATGTTTCACTGAAATTGCTACAGGGAGCTAATATGTTCATGTTTATATGTTACAGGAGGGAAATTGCAGAAATCCCTTTCTTAGGATGAACAGTTTAAATTAAAACTATCAGATTGTTTTATAGAACTTTAACATCAGGTGTCTCCATGGACTTGAAGTGTGGTTTGTGGATGTAGACTGTGTGTACGTACTGCCTCTCCTAAAGCGTTCTCCACCAGCGGCCAGCACTCCTTCAGATAAGCTTCCCTGTATTTAGGGAACAGCGTGGCGAAGCTGCTCTCCTCCAGCAGCCCCCGAGGATTGTCATCTCGAGTGAACGCCGGCTCCTTCCACCCATCAGGAACAGTCAGGAGCTCAGATTCGTCCACTGCAAGGCAAAAAAATAAAAGATAACACAATCAGTAAACAAAGAACACCATCCATTAATTTGTTTTCTTCTGCTTTATCCGGGGCCGGGTCGCAGAGGCAGCAGACTAAGCTAGACAAGCTAAAGTCGGTCCTCGAGGGTCGCTGTCCTGTAGGTTTTAAAGGTTTCCCTGCTTCTGCAGAGCTGAACAGACTTTTGCTGAACTGCAATCATCAGAATCAGCGATTCTAAGCACAGATGCCCAGACTTCCCGATCCACACACTCTTCCTCCAGCTGCTCTGGCAGGACCCCCAGGCGACACCAGGCCAGCTCAGAGACATAGTCCCTCCAGCGTGTCCTGGGCCTTCCACAAGTCCTTCTCTCAATGGGACATGCACAGAACACCACCCGAGGGAGGCAACCAGGAGGCATCCGGAACAGATGCCCGAGCCACTTCATCTGGCTCCTTTCGACATGGAAGAGCAATGACTCAGCTGCAAGCTCCTCCCTGGTAACTGAGCTCTGAGCCCGATTTCGAAGGGTGCACCCAGCCACCCTGCGATACAGTGACTGCATCACTGCTGATGCCATTATGATGTGTCCCTTACTAGTGAACATGACCCTGAGATACCTGAACTCCTCCACTTGAGACAAGGACTCTCCACCGACCTGAAGAGGAGAGTCTACCTTTCTCCAGTGGAAAAAAAAATGGCTTCAGAGGTGCTGATCCTCATCCCACTATCACTGTTTTTTTATATAAAAAATAATAAAACTATTTTTTTTTTTTTTACTGAAAAAACATCTGATTCCATATACCTTCCTTTGTTCAGGTCTAAAAGTAAAAAAAGGCAACTGAAGTTCAAACTGAGCATCACAGGAAGAGAGATTTAACGTGACTCTAAATGTGCATCAGTTGTTGGTCAATGTAGCTGATGGTCTGTGTTTACAGATTATCCAGTGAGGGATGAATAAATGTCTGAGGAAGGACAGGCAGACTGATACAAGACGATCAAGAGTTAAATTGAAAAATAATTGCAGCCATATTCATTTGATTTAATAAACAAATATCTATGTTTATCAAGTTGTTTGTCTCTACAAAAATACATTAATATCGTCAAATTAAGTGTTGAAGGATCGTAAATCATGCTATTTAAAAAAAATCGTCTTTAAATCTAGAAAGGAAATGTATGTTCGATTTACTTTATTAAAAAAAATATCTACCTATTTCCGGGTAGCAGTTAATAGTCTCTGACTCGGTAGGATTCAGAACTTACCTTGTATTTTGTTTTTTGAGTTTTTTTTAGCTGTTTGGCTTCCACTCATGCCGTCTTTAGGCATGGAGGACGCCATTTTTGAGAAGCGGTAATGACGCAAAAAGACGCGTCTTCTTCTTCTTCTTTTTCTTTGTGAAGTTTGATGGCGGTTGGCAAACAACTTGAATGCGCATTACCGCCACCTACTGGTAGGTGTTGTGGAACAAAATGACAGTATTTCTTTTTTTATATTGCAAAAAAGAACATACATGAACAATATAGAACATTAACAATTACAAACTTATACAACAACAAAGGGCTTTACAGAACAAAACTATTATTTTAAAATGTCAAAATCAAATCTAATCTAAGCTTGAGGGTTATAATAATTCTTTAAGGGCAGTTTTAATTACGGTAGCATGGTTTTAGTATTTGAACTACATTTTAAGGATTCTATATAGATTAGAAATTAGGTTTTTGTTGTAAATATTTGGAGGTGTGGAAATGTAGCATAAATAATAAAACAAATCTATAAGATATAAAAGTTCTGTTTTGATAAGTTCACATTTTTCCATCCCAAACAAAATATCTTTAGCTTTTAAAGTAATGTCAAGATTTTTTTGGTATAATTACAATCCCAAAAAAGATGAATAAGCTTTTCTTTATTATTTTTACAAACAATACACATTGGGTCCAAATCCCATTTATATCTTTTTATCAAAAATGGATAAACAGGATAAACATTATGAATAATTTTATAAGAAATTTCTCTTACTTTATTGTTTATTAAGTATTCTTTTAAGGAACAACCAAGTCCACTTCCAATAAAATATTGGTCCAACATCTCGTAATAGAATATTTCTTAACCTTTTGTCGGTTGTTTTCTTACTTTTAAAAGGACAATCATAATAAATATTAATGAAGTTTGGATCAAAACTTGGCCCTGAGTAAATTTGAAGTGTGGGTAAAGATGATAAAAGCTTTAATGAGCCACTGGGAATTGCGTCAAACACAACAGCATATCCTTAAGGGGTAATAGGAAATTGGAAAAGTGACATAAAGTCAGAATAAGACAATAAATGAGCATTTGGATTTAGTAATTGGCTTACAAGTAATATTCCCCTATAAAACCATTTTCTATAAAAGTCTTATTTTTGTATTTAATGTCTTCATTATTCCAGATATAATATTTTAAAATAACGGTATTGTAGCCAATCTACTTACCTGCTTTACTGTTATATCCAAAGTATAATAATCATCCTCTGTCTTTATTTTAAATAAATTGTATTTATTATTAACAATATCCTACACTTTTATATTTTATTCTTAATTTAAGTAACTAAATCCTCCTTCTATCTCTATTATTTATTAATTTGTATTACATTTTCTAACATATCCATATCTTAAATTGTTTTGTTTTAATTAACACCTAAACTAATAACCAGAAGTTATTAAAGGTTGACTTGTTATCTTATTAAACTTTGTTATCTTAAAAAACTTTTTAAAAGTGTTACTAAAAAAAGCGAATTGAGAAAGCTTCCTGGAGAGGTGGCGAAACATCAAATCAAATCTTGGAAACCAAGTCCAGTGAATTGTTTTTTAAACTTTTACGGAATACTAAAAAAAAGCTAAACTAAAAGATGATAAACCCTGCGCCTGTGTTATTATAAGTTTGGATCCATTTTTATCAGAAGGAACAAAATACAAAAAAATGTCTCGCTTTTATTTTAGAAGTGACTTTAACATGTAAACTCTTCAAAACTTATAAGACTTAAAGTCCAAACATTTTTTTCCTTTCTGAGCAATTTTTCTTATGATTATTGTCCCCCTTTTACAGCTCTGTATTACTTTCTTTCATTTTATGTTTTGTTTTATTTTTGTCCTGCCTGTCTGGACATGTAAATCTGAGACTATTTTTTTATAATGATTAATTACGTCAAAGTCAATAAACAATCCACTAGACTTGATTTCCAAGGTTTGAAGACGTTTCGCTTCCTGTCCAGGAAGCTTTCTCCATTCAAATGTCTGGATTCGCAGTGAGTTTGAGTCTTTATATAGACAAGGACTTGTATTGCTTGGAAACATGCAAATTGAAACTGCCGAACGGGTAATTTGCTTCTCAAGTTAGCCTGTAATATCTGAAACCTGTCTATGATTCTGAAGGTTGGTTGTTAAAGGCGGGATTGTTCACCTGGCTGAAGAGAGGAGGTACTTTGTTCGTCTGTGGTGGGGTGGGGGGTGTGGTGATACCTGGAAGGAATCAACTCAAAAACTGAATTGCAAGTTTTTGGAAGCTGGAATCTGAGTCCACCACCTCTGTTTAAAGTTGTTTTTCTCTCTTAACATAGATGGCTTCCTTCACACCCCTCTCAAACCACCTATTTTCCTTATCCAGAATGTGAACATTCTGGTCCTCAAAAACTCCCTTTCCTTCCTAAGAGAACTAAGACAACTTCCTCTTTTGTGAACGGGAAAGGTTCATAAAAGAGGAACTTTTCAGTTTATTATAATTGCTGAAAGGTTTTAGAGCGCTCTTTTCTAACTCCTGATGGTCCTATTTGTGGAATCACATGATGTTTTTTTTTTTTTTTTTTTTTTAAACAACCAAAATATGGTTCAGCATACAAATGTATCCAGTGAATTGAATATAAAATGTATATTTCATGTTTTAAAAGTGATCAAAGTAAGCTTTTTATTGACTGAAAGATGTCAAATTAATACAAAGAGAAACAGGAAAATAAATTACAATAAAAATATTTAATATATTAGGGTCAATTAGGGTGAAATTAGCCTGAATCTTTTTACAAAGACAAATTAATTAATTGTTTTTTTTTTTATCCAATTTTTCTATCTTAAAAAATACAATCTGATTGACATTTTTTAACTGAAGGTAATGTAACAAACTGACATATAATTGTTCTGTCAGATTTATCCCAGCAAATTTCAAAAGTATATAACTGCTAGAAAAGAACGTTGCCATGACAACATTACAGAGACATTAACAGCAACAACTTTAAACCAAGGAAATTTTTATTTGTACAGGCTTAACATTTTTTTCTTTCTTACATAAAAAAAGGAAGTGTAAAAATGAATTGTTCATCTGATTCGCTTCTTAAATTCGATATTTCAGTTTTGATCAAGAGCTCCAAATCTCAAAAGGTGAGTAACGCTGAGACGGTCGGTACTAATAGGCTACCGGTAATACAAAAAAAAAAATGGAACATAAATCCAAACACTGAAAAGGTTTATAGATGCAATAAAATAAATTTCAGTATCATCAGATGGCATAATTAGAATTTTAAAATAATCATACTCAAGCATATATATGGATATATTTCAATTATTTTATGTTTTTTTTTTAGGTTAATTGGCATTTTTAAGCTGCTCTTAGGTGTGCATATGAGTATTAATAAATTCACATTAATTGTAATTAAAAATATATATATATAACTTCTAGTATTTGTAATTTATATAGATTTAGCATTAAAAAACAGTCCATAAACCTGACTTTATGAGTATATCTCCTTTAAAAACCTCATTCATATGAGATTTCATTACAAAATCTCCGCAAACACTTAAGAGTTGGAGACTTTGTCTAAATAATTCAAATAAACAACACAAAGTTGATTTAGGATCAACTTATTAGCCATACTAATGTTTCATCTTATCACGTTCCTGCAGTGGGCCTGCTTCACACAAAATCCATCGCTTCCTGAATCAAAATATGCAGAAGCTGAAGGTCCCACCGTGAAGAAAGAGATCCTGGATGCCATCCATCCACCAAAGTACCTCTGCTCTTATTTAGCAAACTCTTTCATTTAGTTTCGACTTCCTAACTATCATATGTTGCAGGGAATGGTCAAAAGGAAACAAAGTGTGGGTGCAGAGGGTATCCAGTGCACCTTCTACCAGAGCAGATCTCCTCCAGCTGCAGGAACAGCTGGATACGAAGCTGGAGCAGGAACAGGCCCGACACGCAGGCATCTGTCCCATCCGCAGAGAGCTTTATTCTCAGTGTTTTGGTAAAGACTTCATACAGATTATATTGTTCACTTTCTCATTATATAATTTCACTGAGGGTTTTGCACAGCTACAATAGTTATTGCTATGATTATTCTATTCATTTAGGCCCTTTTACTTGTGCAGCCGGAGCTCTATGTTCAGTGGTGGAATCATTAATTAGCCACTTCAATTTAGATAAAAATAACTAAGATATAAAACTAGAATTTATAGAAAATGTTTCTGTCCTATGAGTGAAAAGCAGACCTAAGTTGCTGCTGAATTACACGCTTTTTCAAGTCATCAAAGCTTTTTTGCTTTATTCTGGATATTTGACCAATCGCCCAGGCAGATAAAAAGATTTTCTTAGGATGGATTTTTTTAATATGTTAGGTAAAATTGCCATATTTGATCACCCAGTTGGATTACTGGGGAACTGGGTTGGCTTTTAAGAAACTGTTAGCGTTTGTCATTAACTGGCAACATGAGCTGGAAGGTTTATGACAAAAAAAATTAATATGTCTGTTTATTTGAGGGTGAATGAAACTTGCAGTTTTTCACATGGAAAAATCAAATGATCTCTGGAGAAAAGATTTATTACAAGAGGAGAATGGGCCATGATGGCGGTACAGATATTTAACATAACATAGAGCTTTTAAAATTTTAAATTCCAACATATCTGTCAAGGCAGCACTGCTATACAGCTCAAAAAACAGGAAAATATAACTTAATCCAAAGATTTCACCTCATAAATATATGGTTAAAAGACTGACCTAATTAGATCCTCTAATGCAAACACAAGTTAAAGCTGACTTTTAAATAAACCCGATTCACCTGTAACCTGGATGATATATGAATCCCTATCCTTAGATGAATTGTTAAAGGTTTTGATTAAATATTTTATATTTAACAGATATAAACAAACTATTTTAAATTAGTTAACATTATCTGCCAAGAACGGTGGTCAAAATCCAACATGATCTAACAGAAGCTAGAGAATAAATAGAAATATATATGACTGCTCTGCCACTCTGACCTGCAATATTAACCTTTAGTTTTTTTTCTTATTAAAGATTCTTAGGAAGGAAAACTATGTTGAAGTTTAATCCTTGCTCCAAATAAGTCAAAATGTATAAAAT